TTGCGGTTTAGTAAGCGTTGGCATTCAGTAGTGATGTACTGTAGGGTCATTCGCGGGTCTTGTTCAAGTTTACTCAGCAGCCTGGTTCGAATCGCTGCATCTCCTGGGGAATGAAGGCCACAGCTAAAAGTCAAGTATTTGTATTGATCTGCCGTGATGGTTTTAATGTCGAATTTTTGCACTCGCGGTTGACAATGCCAACGTGACGTAGTCATCCGCGTCTACCTTGTGATCTTCAGGTATTGATATCGCTTGTTTAAGATAGATGACTGCTTTTCAAATATTTGGCCTAAGCATTTGACAGTCTCGTCAAAAGTGTAGACTTGACCGTTCTTAGGCAAAATAAAACTGACATACCTGGAGTGCTCTTCTGTTCCAAGTTTCCTTAACAGCAGTCGGACTTTTCAATCGTCATCATTGTCTCCAACTTCAAGGCGGAACACATCTTCATAACGTTTGAACCAGAATTCAAAGATGAGACGACATGACCGTCGTACGAAAATTCGATAATCCTGTTAGCGATGGTATCTACCGATGCGGACGGCTTGACGGTTGGAGACTGTAAACCGGTTTGGATTGACAGTTTGCTCGTAAGAGTTTCGGTCATCCTGAGTCGAGATGCCTTAAATTGTGCTTGATGCTGCAGCAGAATGGCCTTGAGCTCGTCAGCTGATGTGGACCTCTTGATAAGGGTTCCATCCGTCGCCATCTGAAGTGCACGTGCCTCGCCTGAATTGTCGGTTGATTCCCAATTTGAACTCGAGGTCGCTACCCCCCCCCCCACAGAAGAGAGAAGACCGGATCTGACGAGCAGAGGAACAGGGATGTATTAGCCAACCACACCGTACATTAGAAAGGTAGAATGGAAACTTCGTGAACGGTATTTAAAGCTCAGCTGGAAAACTTCAGAAACGTCGACTTACTGCCAATCAATTAATGCCACTTTCGTGTTGGTTGGCTGCTTCACACTGTTGGCTAGCTGTTCGCTCCAATCAGTGCCGGTGAGTTTGACTCGCGTGGCATGCCTTGGCTCTGTAACGACGATGGGTACCTCGGTTATTCACCTAGCGTATTCCTTCTCGACAGAAACAAATCTACCACTAAAGAATTAATAAAATCTGATGGTTAGTCGGTGTTTACAAGTTTGCACCGCTTGTAGCGGTGGAGTACTTTTTGAAGCGAATCAACACCTACACAAACACATCCTTCGCTCTCAATATCGGTGCACGATAGGACTACCCTATGTCCCCGTTACTCTTCAATTTTACGATTGTAGCCGTCCTATCGAGAGGTCTGGGGGGTTGCAATCCTCTTGGCCTACAGCTACTACCGGGTAAACGAGCGACAGACTTAGACTATCCTGGTGACATCGCGTTACTTGTTGACGATTCGCAGACTGTGCAAATAATTCCAAACCGTTTGTCGATTATCTAAGTATGGAATATGATTCTCCTCGTGGAAGTGTAAGGAGCTGCTCCAGCCTTGGCACTTGCTCGTTCCATTGCTTACTCATGAAAGTACACATCTTGAACCTGTTGATTTTTTTGTCGACCTGGCAGCTGCCTATCTACTGAGGAAACTATCCCCGCAGTGCCAAAGCTCGGTCTGCGTTTGTCAATTTGAAGCACCTTTGGCGTCCTCAGGATGTCTGTCTCTTGGCAAAGTGACATTTTTACAATGCTATCATACAGGCGGTGCTATTATGTTGAAGCCAGTAGTGGCAAGTTCTAGTGGAGGATATGTGCGAGCTTTCTGCTTTAGACAACGGGTCCTTGAGGAAGATTACTGATGTATGGCGAGAACAACGGTGAAGAAAATGAGAGTAATCCCTTCAGCATGCTGGTTTTACTGCGCCATTTAATATGGTTCGGTCATTTCCTACACGTGGCGCCCGAGCGTTTGTTAGGGTGCGCTATATCCGATCGTTAAAGATCGGGCTGCTGGCGACCGTGTGTTGGTCACCTGGCGACAGCACTTGAAATCCTTGACGTCGAGCCACCGTTGGATTTACACGACTGCATGGTTGGGGACCAAGAGCCGAAGGGTGCCGATGGCTGGAAACAAGCAGGATGTGGTGCACTATCGAAATCAGTGAAAGATCTGCGTACATACTTGTTAAGATTTAGATGCTTGCGACCTAGCAACTGAAAAAGACAAAGAATCAAAAAATGGCGTGTGCAAAATAACCAAAGTCGTCCAGTTTGTATCGTGACACAATCGCGGAAGTGTGTTGCTCACCTTTAGCTAATGTGTCATTATTATGGTGATGACGCAGCGATTCTGGCTGTCATCTTCCATTGATTTCCATGGTTTTTCTTGGCCCGGAACTTGTGCTCAAGTAGGTTTTCGTGCCTAATTTAAAGTCGTATATGAGATGTGGCATTGACAGATAATTCTATGGGTAATTTAGCTATTAGTCTGCTAAGCACCCGCATGCACCTAAACGTATATCCATTGTAATGATGACACCTTACACTTTGCGAATCGGAAAAACGCGTTGTGCTTCTGTTGAGATCGTTCAATTGCACACATTGTACATCACCTGCAACAGGAGGCTGGAAACAAATTAGCTTTTCTGATTGTACGCGTTATCCATAATGCTGATCAATCTTGCAGCAGTAGGGTCGAGGCGGTTCAAGTCAAAGATGTGCTTCATGCCCCCTGAATGATGTATTAGAAACACGCATGGACGGTGAAGTGTCCTTACTTCCACAGCACGATGTCACTGCATTGCAAATGAGGCTTAGTCTGTTCTGTTATCTTCAAGGTGTGCAAAGTTTGTGCACATATTACCCTCAAGCGATACCAAAAGGGGAAAGTGGATGTCTGAACGAATGTCTCCGAATCATTTGCCAGAAGGCAAACTACGGATCCCGAAGATCAACGCTCCTGAGAAATAGCATTTCATTAATGTACCATGTAAGGGTAACTGCCTGAAAATAGTTGTTGTGATAACCTTAGCTGTGGATCGCCCGAGCTTAGTCGGCTGCAACAAGCCATTATTTGCAACGTCATTGAAGTGTCCAATACCGTTGTTGACTTGCTGAATGCTTCCATCGCAATGAGGCTGGACCTTACCGTGGTGCGATGGTTTGTGTGCCTCAGCGATCCATTGAGCTATGCACCAGGCTCCGCTGGCTATTTCCCACACCAGGCTCCGATGGCTCGGCCACGTGTTACGCATGCCAGCCCACCGACTACCTCGACGTGCGTTGCTTGCTCACCGGGGATGTGGGTGGAAGAAGAGGAGAGGTGGCCAAGCGATGACTTGGTCGAGAGGAATGAAGTCCCTCACTTCTGAGCTGGCCTCGGTTGGAGCGTCACGGCTCCCTGGTTGGGGTCCAAAAGACGGTGAACACGCTTGGCTGGATACACTTGCTGACATGGCAAGGAGCCGACCTCAATGGCGTTTGTGCTGTGAGTTTCTTTGTCTCTCCCCATCCCTTTTAGCCTCCCTCTCCATCTACGATCTCATTTCCTAGAGTAAAACATAATAATAAAAAATTTTCTTTTTGCCTAGTAGCTGGCTGGAAGCTTACCGGAATGATGCCTATCCGTTGCTGGTAGCTCAGCTGGCATGCAACTGGTGTATCTATTTTTCCTTTGTGTATTGTATTATATGTATGTATGTATTTCCCTCATGTATTGCGGCACAATAGCGGAGGTGTTTTCCCACCTCTAGTTGATGTGTATAATGTATGAATGAATGATGTTTAATGCTTACCTATCAGCCTCTTCATCAGCACTCGGGCTCCTACGGTGCATGACACATGGGTCGCACTACTTGGGACTCATTTTTGACGCCTCGCGAGCACATTCCAATGTAGCTATCAATAACGAGGTCTCTAGGCTGATCTTTCATGTCATAATACCTGAAGTACGGCCATGCAGCCTTGAAGTGCGACATCAAAATCATCTGCTCTCTGCCTGAACGTTTCTTGCATTACTTCAGCCAAGATCACCGACGTACACTTAAACTAGATATTCCTCATCCGGATGAACAGTATTCCACTTTACTTGATTTGCTCAGTTCTGTAGTTTACGACATATTCCGTGTCAATATTGCATGTTTATTTTTCTTCAAATTATATCTTAGTTACTTGATATCCCCAGTGTGGCTGCGCTTGATGTGAATGTTGACAAGGTGTCTACCTCTCTGACACCCTCCACCACGATTACTGACTCCAGGAGCGGTTGGTCGTTGCTGCAGAGGACGGGGTGTATTCTCCTCGGAGCCCTACTAGACTCAAATATTGGTTCCATGCGTCCAGTATGGTACGGACTATGGCCCAGCCATCGTTTTCGCGTAGGTTTGGCACGCATGATTCCCCACATTGCTAGGCAAGACTGCTTCTGCTCTGCTTGTTGTAACATTCTGAGGCGATTCCGTTGATGAAACCTGGCTCCCGTCCACATGCCTCTTGGTCTTAGTTCTTCGGGTTTACACCGGATATAGTTTGTGTGGATGGAGCTGTGGGTGTCGCAGCACAAGCCACCCATGGTGGCTCCGTAACGGCAGACATCCTTTGGCTGTCCCCGTGGAGGTCGCATTAACAGACAATTGCGGTTCCGAATGTCGCCAACCTTACATTCACCACCGTAGGCCGAAACTTTGTCTACAAGCACGGTTACTTAGCCAATAGATTTCTATCCGATTTATTTACTTTGGATTGTTGAGAACTGATGTACCTGTTCTCCCCTTTATTTTCTTAACACACCACTTAGTGTCCTAACTAAGGTTATCGATTCAGCTGTTTTAGGAAAGTAATAATTAATTCGTAATCCGTTTCGACACTTAGGATAAGCAAGCCTTGTTATTTACATGTGTTGGTCCCGTGCGAATTTATTCGATGAGAAATATTCACCCACCACCTGCTTCTAAGCCTGGTTATCACTAATAAAATGGTTTATTCGTTTTCTGGTGGATGATAACTGAGAACACGGCATACTTTGCAGTCCCACCTGACACACTGACGCGTTCTGCACACCATCTACTCTCCATGCTCTCATCCATTTCTCCACGCTTTTGTCTTGACGATGAGTTTGTTTCGCTCTCATTCCACTCTGACCAAGCGTTGCTTTTCTTGCTTTTTTTCTACGTTTTAGGTCTCGTTAAAATGGGCGTTCACTGTGTGACTGGAAAGAAAGTGGCTGTCAAAATAGTAAACCGCGAGAAACTCAGCGAAAGCGTTCTACAAAAGGTATTGTACACAACTAACTATACAGTGATCACTACCGCATAGGTCGAAAGAGAAATTGCCATCATGAAATTGATCGAACATCCACATGTGCTGGGCCTGTACGACGTGTACGAAAACCGGAGACATCTTTACCTTATCTTGGAACACGTTTCCGGTGGTGAACTGTTCGATTATCTAGTTCGAAGAGGGAGACTATCCCCGAAAGAGGCTCGGCGATTTTTCAAACAGATTATTTCGGCTCTGGATTTCTGTCACAGCCACTGCATCTGGTGAGTATCCACCTTCGATTGGTCTATTTGCTATGCAGCTTCACTTTAGCTTAACGCGGTGCGCAACAACCTGACTTGGAGCGTTGCTGTCCGCGTAGTTGCACGGATCCCCCATACCTGCAGTTGGTGTGGGTGACCGGAAAAAACCGTACACGAAAATTGCGTACAGCAGAAAGCGTACACGAAAAATGCGTAGACGGAAAATTGCGTACACAGAAAAATGCTTACACGGAAAGAAGCGTACACGGAAAATTTCACTCTCAGAGAATTGCGCACACGATATATGGCGAACACGGGAATACACCAGTTCGATGGCTTTGCACCTAAACGACTGCCCAACATGTCATATCCCCCATTACTCACGCAGCATACTCAACAGACAGAACTCTACTCGCCTACTGCAGTTAGCCGAAGTCTCAGCGATTCGGTGGCTCTAACGCACTTGGTATGACCAGACCGAATTCGTGGACAGCCTACTCTTGGCTTGATGATTGATGACCGCCTGAGATGACAGACAGCCATTTTGTGCACATTGGTACTGCGCATGAAAGGATGTCTACATAGTAAATTTTCCATCCAGAAAAGCGCTTGCACGGAACCTTTGTAGCAGTCTGCAAATGTAGCAGGTTTGTTTCCGTACAATGTGTACAATTGTAATCGAACTTACTTCTTCCGTTGCACACTTAGATGACAGATGCGAAATGTGGAATATCAGTTCAAAACGTCTTAGTAGACCGAAAAACACACCCATGGTCGAATCCTTCTCACATCTGGGACACGTTGCCATTGCTGCTTCTCCAACCAGCACGGTTCACCGGTGTCAATGGTTAGGGGATCACTTGTATGCGCACAATCAAAGCGTGGCCCTTCATTATTCCGTTCCTCTAGACTGATCTTTGGACTTGCCACCATAAAATGTTTACGAACTCGGTCTGGTCACACCAAGTGCGTTAGAGCCACCGAATCGCTGAGACTTCTGCAAATTGCAGTAGGCGAGTAGTGTTCTGTCTGTTGAGTATTCTGAATGAGTCATGGGGGATTTGGCATGTTGGGCAGTCGTTTATTTGCAAAGCCATCGAACTGGTGTATTCCCGTGTTCGCCGTATATGGTGTGCGCAATTCTCCGAGGGTATAATGTCCACTGTACGCATTTTCCGTGTATGCTACTTTCCGTGTACGCTTATTTTCGTGTAGGCTTTTTACTGTACGCAATTTTCGTGTGCGCTTTCATCATGGAACCTTTGGTGTGTCAACGTGTGCTATGTAAATGTACTCTGTCGCTGGCGACTATCCTGCGTGTCCCGGTTAAAAGTACTGGTTGATGTTCTAACTGGAGAGTGACGGGTGCGTCTATGTGCGTGCGTGGGCGCTCTCGCTCGCTCGCTCGCGTGTCACGGTGACGTCGGCACATGATCTCGGCTGAAATCGGCTGCCCGCGTACATTCGCATTGACGAAGCATAGCGTTTTCCCAAATCAAATATATGTCGGGCACTCCGTGACCACGGGCCAATGAGGATGTGTGTGCCTTCTAAGCAGCACCATCATTTCCCCTTCGTTAGGGGCTTGTCGGTTCAGGACCATCGCCCATTGTGAGGACCACCTTATGCGTCTGGGTGAACTGGGCGTACCCTGACATCATGATGGTCACTCGGTATATCCAATAAACACACAGGCTGGAGGACTTTTTCTAACGATCGTCGATGAAAGTGAACGTTGGTGGATTACCTGGAAGTGCCAGTCCAAGTGCATGGCGAATCCTGAGCCGTATTTTTGTTTACTGACCTTGAGGCGCTAGTGCAAATTAACTGGACTACACTTCCCACTCTGTGAGACAAAACTACGGGAGCCCCTCTTGCTCCTGGATCGGACTAGACGCTGCATGGCGGGCAACCAAGTAGCTTTGTATAGCAATCACTGTGTAGCGAATGGCACATTCCAGGTGGACACCGGAGATCCGGTAGACGAAGATTTACGCGAGGAGGTGGATTTATATAATAATTTTGTTTACAAGTACGGTTGGGCTTAGTGAAATGCGGTGTCTCAGTCTAACTGGACTTAAAAATGCTTGCACTGCGGGGCTGTAAATTGTATACTCCTGCGGTTACTGCGCAGCTTGAGCAGTATAAATGTGTTGGTATGTAACTTTCGACGGAAGCGCGACGAAGTTGTCTGTACAGCAGAACCACCTGCGTTTGTATGACATCGCTGCGCTGCAACGACGTCTACCATAGTTTGAAATAATTTGAAAAACTGGTAGACTGAGTTGGTCGTTCAGCCGAGGATTGGTTCGCTGAGATTAAAGGGTTGCACAGTTTTGTCACCGTGCAAAGGGGCAAAATCGCACAATCCTACGGGCTTCCAAAGGTGCACAAAGAGGGTGCCACGTTGCTATCAATTGTTTCCGTTCCATGCACACCCAACTACAGCCCATCAAATCATTTGCGCCATAAACATCTAACCAATAGATCGCATCACTTCATAAACAATGCTCAGCAATCCTTGGAATAATTCCAAAACTTGCAAATAGATCATGATAATTCGTTGGTTTCCTTTGATGTCACCGCTTTATTCACATCTTTCAACCTGCGCCTGATGAAAGAAATCATCATAATAAGCCTGGAAAAGGGCAAAGAGAAGTGGGAATATTGTGACGGCAAGTAGTTGCAATCTCCTCCAACTGTACCTCACAACTTACTTCAATTTCAGCGGATAGATCTATGATCGAGTGGAGGGAGCACTGATGGGATCCTCAATATCATGTCTGATTGCTGAGATCGTCATGCGAAAGCTGGAAGAAGATCTACTGCCAACATATAACCCAAAATTATGGGTTCACTGCGCCGACTGCATGTTTTGTAATACCCAAACGCAGTCAAGTAGTTGCGGCACAAAAATTACTTAATAATGCAACGGATGCCTTTTCGTTTACAGTGGAGTCGGAGACAGGAAACCAACTCCCTTTCTTAGTCATATTGGTCACCGGAGCGATGAACGATGAGTTTCAAACATCCGTCTACAGGAAACGCACGCATACGCACCAACTTGAGTATTTCAACCGTAACCACCCAAAGTGCCACAAAATAATCTATTTCGCAGAATCACAACATACTGCATGCAATACTGCAGTAGCGAAAACTGATGAAGAGAGATACCTATCTAATTCGTTTAAGCGCACCGGATACCCACGCTGCTTCATCCGCAGAGGTTTTAACTAAAAGCCCACGGACACCGAACGGATGCTAGAGGCAAGCAAGCGGTTCGTATTGCCATATATGAAGAACATGTCTTAGATGGCGGCTCAATTATTAAATCAGCATCGTAGCATGGTTACCCACAAGCTAACCGCTACTTTGAGAAGAACAACCAGTAAGGACGAGTACAAACAAACATCGTATCAAGACAAATTACAATATTATGAAAAAACTATGTGGGACAACTAGGAGATTATCGACCAGGACACAATAACATCAAAGGGCCTGCAAAAAGCATGTATCATCACTGGTCTCAGCACATGCGGATGAGGAGAGACCTAGCTCCGACGCGAATAAAACGGATTCTGGCTAAAGTTGCGACACAAAAGAAATGGAATTTCTCGAAGCTTGGTTCTCCTCTACTAATCCGATCAACCCGTGCACTGACATCGACACTGTACTAACGACTCAGAAAGATCTCCGACGGATCGAAAGGCGGAGTTCGAAATGACCTACGCGACGCACAACTGGAGCAACCGTTTCAGTTGCGTGGGAAAATATGCAAAGATCATGGGGTACAAATCGAAGTTGCCACTTACAAAAATCACCTACTCATCTATCACGGATGGATGATTCAAGCAGTATTACGCCTCGCACATCACCGCAATGAGGATGCCATGTCGTATGATGCCTAAATGTATACAACCATTTAATCAGGCTCGGCGAACCAGTCGACAGCTGAGCTACTATAATTTGTTCAAAATTGTTGATCCCACCGTGGGCCTAACTGACGTATCACACTAGCGAACAGTAACTAACTGTATACTTATATTTACTCAACTTTGACTCGAGGAGGATAACTAAAACCTTTTACACCCACTTGACAATTTTCCGTGGTTACCGGCTAAAATCCCCCTTTTCGATTAGATGCAAGGACAGCTTGACAAAACTTCCAATTCCGGTTATAGTACGGTACCTGGCTGATGTAAGTACTGTCATGTAGGTACTTTACTCCGAATTTGTCAGCTTAAATCCAAGTGTAGGACAAGACGTAGCACACCTCGGGATGAACGTTAAGTCTTCCAATTGATCGACAATATTGCGGGGTTGGGATGACATACTCCCACTTTTCATTATCACCTAGCAGGTACTGTGTATACACATGTATGTATATATATTTGTATACATTCACTACTTAAACGATAATCATGCAATTGATGCAGTATCTTGCAGCGGGAGACTGAGGTCTCGCAAGCACCAGATATGTCGGAATTTGGAACATGCTAGTTTAGCTTTGGACACAGTAGGTAACTCACCCGCTAACTCTTCCAGACTAAAGCAGCTTCGAAAATAAACAAACTTATCGACTACATTCAAAGTGGGGCCAAAAAGAATGGAGGTAGGAGCACCGTTTAACCCGTCTCGCAGGAAAACCTTTTACTTTGAGGGAGCAAGAGTCATTTCGAACCGCAAACAACCATCTCCAATTTGCACAATTCGTTCTGTGTGTCAAACGAGGAATCTCATGATCACAGCCATATCGTCAGCGTACTTGGGATCATGAGTTCGATTACAATATCATAGACTAGCTGACTTATCAACTCTTTGTAGATGTAACTGGAGATGGAGGCTTACGCTAGTCCTTTCGTTTTACCACTCAGACCAGGTGTGCCCACTTTGCTCTGATCAGCTTCACATTTGTGACCCAGTCACTTGAATAAAGTGCACCTAATCGCGTCTATTAAGCTGAACGTACTGATGAAAATGGTCAACGAATGGAGCGGAGACAACATCTTGTCTTTCTGACT